ACCTCAGAAATCAATTAGGCACAGTTTTCTGTAAGCCTAATAATTTATGATCATTACAAGTTCATTAGAACAGAATTTACTGTGGTCATACTTTGGGGTTTCCTGATATCTTAGGAAATGTACATTCTTAAGGTCAAACGTGTCATTTTCTTTGTTCATGAAGTCAACGCAAAACCACTCAAAGTCTGATTTGAATGATTCACAAAGCATCCCATTACTTCAGCCTGGATCATTTGGAGTTTTTCCCTGTTAACTCAGAGACATAAACCTACCAGCCTTGCACCATCTCATTAAGCCTCCTGACTTTAGCATCTGTCTGGTATTAACTGAGATCAATCTAATGTATGTGTTTAAATGACCCTTGTTCACCTTTCTTTCCAATCAGCAAATAAAAGCAAATCCAGCACATGTAAGCGCTCTCCTTCCCTCCCCCACTCCTGACACACAAACTTTTGTTTGGTTTTTATTTGAGCTAATACTCTCTGGATCCTTTGGTCTATAAAATAAATTAAGCAATACTTTTAATTGCAGGCATTGTCAAGGCATTTCTCCAGTTCCCAAAACTTTAATTTTTTAGCCCCGTGGGGAAGTATGTGTCCCAAGTATGCTATCCATTTAGCAAAAATCCATGTTAAAACTCCTTGCCAATATCAATTGGCATGCCTGTCTTTCTCCAGTGAAATGAAATTTGAAATAGTCTACTAGATTCTCCTCTTTTGGTGCCTCATGTTGGATCTTCTTAGTACTTTCTAGCTCTTGGCACTCACTTACCTCCAAAATCTTTAACTTGGCCTTTAAAACCCTTCACTCCAGCTCTTTGAGCTTCTCCTTAATTCTCCTTCACAAGCTCTCCATTAAAACCGAATTGGCCTGCTTCTATGTCCGATTCCAACTCCACATGCAAGTCCTCTGACTACTATGCCCCATATCAAGTCTTCTCTTCTCCAAGCTAAACTTGCCTTGTTCCTTTAAGTCAAGCTCCTATATGGCATGGCCCCAAGGTCCTTCACTCTCTTTATTGTCCTCCTCCAGATCCTCTCCATCTTATTGATGTCCTTCCTAAGCCATGGTGCCCAGAACTGCACATGATGTTCCCAATAAAGTCTCACAAAGACAGATGACAGGGGGATTACTCAGTCACTATTCCTGGAAAATCTCCATCCTGTATAGAAAAAAAGGCTATCTAATCATAGTTTCCCTATTGTATACTTGTGGTGTTGATTTTTATTATACTGAGTTTCATGTTATTAGATTTAACCTACCAAGATCTCTTTGTATCCTTACTCTGTCATCCAGTGTGTTAGTATCCTACCCAACTTGCTGTCATCTGCAAATTGGATGAAACATATGCCTGTATCTGAGACATTGATAAAAATGTCAAACAGCACAGGGCCAAGCATAGATCCCTAGGGCACTCCACTAGAGACCTCTAGCCAAGCTATCATTGAACCACTTACAAAGACTCTTTGAGCCTGAATATCCATCCATTCTGAATCCATCTGATTATATTATCATTTAGTCCATCTGTCTCCATCTTCTCTACAAGGAGAGTATGAGATGCTTTACCAAAATGTTTGCTAAAATCTAAGAAAACCATATGGCTATAGTTCCTCCATAATTACCAACATTCCCTTCATACACTACTTTAGTAATCCTCTCAAAAAAGAAATGAAGTTTGTTCATGACATATTTTTGATGAAGCCATCCTGGCTTTTTGCAGTCATGCATGTCCCTTTCTCAATGGTTGCCAATCATCTCTTTAATGATCTGCTCTAGAAAGGAAGTTTTCCTAGGAAAAGAAGTTAAGCCTATTGACTACACTTGACAAACTCTGATTTCTTTCTTTTATTATCGATCAGGATAACTTTTTCCCTTCCCCAATATTGTGGTTTCTTTCCCATTTTCACCATTTAAGACTCTCAGAAAATAGCTTAGAAAGCACATCTGCCAGTTCTTTCAAGACTTAAGAATTTTGTTCATTTGTTCCAGGTAAACTGAATTCATCAAGGCCAGCTAGAAACCCCTTACTTATCTTGAATAACAACTCATTGTTTTGACATTTTCTGTGTCATATCCAGTGTAAAGACCATTCTTCTTTGCAGAGAAAATATAGATAAATAAGAATGAAGCAGTTTTTCAGTTCTCATCATCCCAACCTCACCAAGCATAGTGGTTACCCATTCAGTGATCCTCCTTATTTTCCCAATATAGTTTTATAAACTCTTTTTCTTAGCCATGAGCTTCCCTCCCTAGCTTTGGGTCATTCTGATTAACTTTCATTGCAGAACCATACAACACTCTTATATTCATAGTGTACGTATTTCATTTTAAAAGAAACGTTGTTTGGTAACTTTCCGGGCATTCACTTTAGCCTCCTCAGACATATACCATTTTGCTTCCTGTTTGGAATTGTTTACCTTTATATTCTCAGAATTTCTCATCCTTCCTGGGCTGACTTCCCTGAAGTATTATATTCCATTAGCTCCTACTTATCTTTTGTCTGAATCCTTCAAATTCTGTTTTTCCCCAAATCTAGGCTGTTTGTCAGGCTACCCCCAGATTTTTCTCCTCTATCACAGACTCTGAAGCTGAATGGTCATGGAATTCCCCAAAAGTTTCCCATCATTTCTATCCTAGCAATCAGTTCTTCCCTATTAGTGAGAATCAAATCCAGAAGAGAATTTTCTCATATTGGTTCCTCCTCATTATTGAAGAATGAAATGATAACCAAGGCAAGTCAATAAACAATTAGAGGATCTCTTTTAATCATAGAGAGCTCCAGCAGTTATCTGGATAACTGAAGTCTCACATCACTGACCTGTGATGCCTTGGTAGTAGGCTTGTGCTATGTTCTTCAAGCTCTTCTTTTTCCTGTCTGTTTTTCTAATCTGATGACAAAATCAATTGGTTCCCCAATTCTTTGACCTTTACCCAAATATTCTCCATCATGCTTCCTTTTTTTCTGGTTCCTGGATTTCTGCACATAAGGATACTTTCTTAATACTCCACCACCCTTTTAAAATGTTTTTAATGAAGTATGCCCATCCAGAGCCATAGTCCAGTCCCGGGCTTTATTCCATCAAATCTCAATGATGCATATGAGGTCAAATATGTCCTCTCTCCACCTTGGGTTAGGACAGTTTGCTCTTGTTCACTTGCCTAAACTTTGCTCATCGGTGTATAGAGACTATGAATTTTTCTCTTGGCTTCTTGGTTGGATATTGTCTCCTGTAAATTTGTAGTTGTCAAAACTGCTATTCCTCTTCCTTTTACATGGCCACTATCTGTAAAATATCTGGCATATACATTCTTATCAGCCATTTAGGTACATTTCATCTCTAGCCAGAAATCTGTCAACTATATTTATAAGCTGTGATGCACAAATCCAAATCTCCTTCCTAGATACCACTTTTTAGTTAGCTATTCACTTCCAGAATTAATTTTTCTCTTTTGCATCCCTTCCCATCAATGGGCAAAAATGAGAAAAACACAACTTGTACCCTTATGGTCTCCAGTTTTGTGATGAAGGAAATGCATTGGAAAGCACATTGATAATGATAAAGTTCCATAACAAAATAAGTGGCAACAATGATAATAACAATATTTTTTATTTACATAGCACTTTAAGTTTTGCAAAGCACAACTTAAACTATCCTTGAGGCAGGTACAGTAAGAATTATTATTATTACCATTTTATACATAAGAAAACTCAGGCTCTAAATGGTGAGGTGAGGGAAAGGTGTAAGGTCAATAATGGTATATGAGGGATTAGATTTGTTTGGTTTAACACAGTGTCTGGCACATTGTAAATGCTTTAATAAATGCTTCTTGGCTTGCTTCTCTAGGGCAAAATTAAAAGCCATGGATAGAAGTTGCAAATAAGGGGACTTAGGTTTGAATTAAACAAAAACTTCCCAACAGTTAAACTTGTCTAAAAGCGGGATGGACACCTTCATGAGGCCATTGGCTCCCCCTTTCTGGAGGTCTTTAAGCAAAGGTGGAATGAGCTACTTGAGTCTGCTGTAGTATAAGTTCTTGCTCAGATATTTGGTAGTCTCTGAGATTCTATGATTCTGTGACTTATCCATGGCCACAGACTTCAAAACCAGAGCATTAATCATTACATCATGATGTCCCCATTTCCTCCCATGTCCATCAGGAATATAGCCAAGCAACAGGAAAGGCCTTAAATGAGCACCAATTTGAGATCTCTCTGAGGATGGGCTCTTAGAATCGTGGGACTTCAAAGGCTTCTTCAGGTTGTTTCAACTTCAAGGAAGCTGTCATGATTTATAATGACTTCAGTGACTCCCTGTAGAAAACCACTCAGATGCAATCACCTTCAAGCATCTTCCTCCAGGACCTCAGACAGCAGCCATGTGATGGCTTTAAAATCCCATCTTTAAAAGCATCCCTTAGCCCCTGAAGCTTCGCTCTCAGCAGAGGTCTTATGATACTAGACAGTTTGACATGTGTGGGGAAAAAAATACCTTTGTGGCTATAACTCCATTTGTTTTTTCTGTCTCCTTCCTAAATTCACATGCCTTCTCTTCTCTCATTCTCAAATTGATTTTCTGATGCTGGTAGCTCAACTGTTGTTTCCCTCCCAATGCCAGATTTCCCTTCCATATATACAAAATCTCTGAATTCAAATCCCGGAAGAAGCAAATGAACAGAAATTTAACTGAATTGCACATTTATTCTTCCCCAGTGCACCCATTCTTAGCTCTCTTTTTCTAAACACTCTGTATAGCCTTCCATCTCAAGTTTGACACAGTGGAAATAAAAAGAATATGTCAGACTCTTAAAGGAGCATGCTGTTGAATTCAGATGGATGAAAAAGCAGGAAAGACTATACTAGATTTTTTTTCCTTTTCTCATTTCTTGCATTCAGAAAGAAAAAATTTGAATAAGAGGAAATGAACAAGCTGCAAAAATTTCTCTAGAAAAACCATTTAGATAAAAGAAATTCTTCCTATTGGAAGGACCTTTTTACTTACAGAAGCGATGAAGTAATATGCCCTGTTGGCTTGACACTGGCAGTAGGATTTCAAACTTGAAAGTGAAATAGAAATACATGGGGGAAATGTCCTTAGAAGAAATCAGATCATAATTTTCAAATGAAGAATTTTTCAGTGAGTGCTCTGTCCACTAACACTAATATAAAAACCCCTCTGTACCTTAGCACACCATCTTAGATGATGAGTACAGCTAAAACATTCTTCACCCTGAAGCCAATATGGTCAGGAGCCTCTTTCGATTCATTTCAGACAGGCCCTTCAGTAACAGTATATGATCTTTCTTCAAGCCCCAAATCACCTGTTCTTTGCACATCACTGAAATGTTTCTTTGTGTTTGGGGTCTGGGGGACTGGAAGTACAATTGTAGAACCAACATGCCTGCCTTCTTACCCATCTCACCTCAAGCCTAAGCGTGTCTACTCAAACTAAGATACAAACAGTCCTTCTAGCAGAATTATATTTCTTTCAGCTATTTGATTGAAGCCTCTCTCTACCTTGCCCCAAGCAAAAATTAAATAGAAAATCTCTCTTTCCTTTGCCCCCAAATGTAAAAAAAACCCTAAGCCTCAAAACTCCTAGCTCTCTCTTCTTTCATTCCCCAATGCCTGCCCCATTTTTCCTACCCCAACAGGTCCAAGCTCTACAAGAGAAGGAAGCTCTGTTTTCCTAGGTTTCAAGTGATGTAATTAAGCCCTTATGTTTCTTCCTTCTCTGCCTTTATCAGCATGAGAAATATTCAATAATTTTTCCCAAAGGGCCACAAGACTGGGTGTCTTATGTCCTGTCATCAAGGAATAGCTGGTTGTGTGATTTTAGGAAAGTCACATCACATCTCCAGGCCTCAGTTAAGTCAGCTGTAGAATTCTGGATCAGGAGATGAGAAGGAAGTACATATGTTTAAGAGGATAGTCAGTGTAAAGACATGAAATAAGGAGAGATGGAGAGTCATGTGCCAGATGGCCAGTTTGGCAGAACCCAAAGGGGAGTAATGTATAATAAGGCTGAAAATAAAGGTTAGAGCCAGATAATTAAGGACCTTAAAATCCAGAGAAGATTAGAGGGGATGGGGAGCCATTGGTGTTTGAGTAGAGCGGCACCATGGTCAGGTCTAGACTCAAGAAAAATAATTTTTAGAGCTATGTGGTGGATGGATTGTTGTGGCAAGACACTGAAGGCAGGGAACTCTGTGAATCACAACTTCTCCAATCCTTACTAGATGGTCTTTTTGTATTGCTGTGACCAAAAATATTAATCATCTTATGGTCAGTCATAGGCAATGCCCTGAATCCAGCTGGACTGGTCAGTGCATATTTACTTTCTGGGGTATAGAGGAAGTCTCTCCAAATTTGAAGGATCTGCTTGTGCCCTACTGCAATATCCTGCAGGAAGACAGGGTATTCTCCAGACCAGGGTATGCATGTGTGCGGGCTTATATTGAATAAGATAATGTGTATTTGTTAAGTGCTTATTATGTGCCAGCCACTGTGCTAAATACTTTCCAAATATATCATTTGATCTCACAATGGTCTTGTGTGGTAGGTGCTACCCTGTGACATAGGTATTGACGATCATCTGTCAACATGCAGAGTTTATCCTTTGCCCCTTAAAATCTTTAGCTTTTTTTAAGACCCATATCTTGCAGGAGGCCTTTTTTGGGCTTTTACCCTGTCCCATGCCACCCCTCCCTCCAGCTTCTAGAACTTTCCACTCTAAAGTGACCTTCCTACTACTCTGGAGTTATCTTGTATGTACTAATTTCCATATATATCTTTCCCCCTTTAGAATGTAAGCTCTTTGAGGGAAAGGGTTGTTTTTGCCTCTTCTTTGTATTAATTAGCACCGTGTCTGGCACACAGTAAGTGCTTAAGAAGGGTTTGTTGATTCATTGGATTTCTTGATATCACATGCAAAGAATTTCAGCAAAGCGCATTACCACATAACAAAATGTCTTTAAAATTATTCAATAGTCTCTTCCCTAAGATCTTAAATGACAGTTTTCAAAGATTGCACACCTTATCTAGCAAAGTAGAGAGTCCTTGGACCTAAATTTCTCCACATTCCAGTCTACTAGGGGCAAAATCCATCTCTTTAATTGGTAAAGCGAGGGATGATGCTTCGGATAGTCAATTTCCCTGAGCGTGCTAGCTCGCCTCACTACCTTCATATATTATCACAGCCAGACCATTTTCTCCCCTTTTCTTCAAAAAATGTCATTATTATCTTTCTGTCAAGGGTAGCTTGAGGAGGTAACTTGCTAAAAATTCTTTCTTTTATTTCCAAACTGAAAAGCACACTGATTAGAAACTGACTGCGTGGGCTCTCACCCAGACGTTGGTCCCTAAGAAGAAAAAAAATTATGCATATGTGTCACTCAAGAAGCAAGACACAAGCTTGGGCAGAAATTTCCAGACTGAGGAGAAGATGAGGCAAAGATCAGGAAACAAAGGGCATCCTAATGAGTCCCTTTCAAGCTAAACACAGGCTTACTAACTAATGAGGATTCTGGCAGGAACAATGATAAGGGGACTGGTTGTTTATTAAGGAACTGTTCATGTAAATTACTTGATTGATAGCCCTACAAGCAGGCTGCCTAAGATACCATCGATAAGATTGGACTTTAAGGACACAGTGGACATTAAACAATTTGGCCAACACATTCCAAGAAGCAAGATTTAAGAATCATTTGTAACATGGGTTTAAGGAAGGAAGAAAGGAAGGAAGGAAAGAAAGAAAGAAAGAAAGAAAGAAAGAAAGAAAGAAAGAAAGA